ACAAAGAATCCTACAGTATTGTTGCAAACTTGCAGAGCTATGTAAGAACGTTCTTCCCTTTTTCAGGTGCATAGGATCGCTGGCCATATGTGGAATAGAGGAATCTCTCCCCTTATGGATACAGAACGTACCCGTCTTATCACTTATCTGCTCCATAACTTTTTAGTAATCATCCTTTTAAGGATTCTTCATGACCTCGACGGAGTTGACACCTTCTGCTCGCGCTGACCTCATCAGAAAATTTCCTGCACTTAAATCAGTAGGGAGTTTTAGCCACTGATCTAAACGAAGGAAAAGCATTTTGCGCTAGGGTCAAAAGGGGTTTCCGCGCCGGTTCTGCAACAAAAAACGCTCCAAAAGTGATTGATTGGCCCGTACAAGTGACGCGGGTGTCGCCGGGTGTCTTTGACTATAGCATCAAGGACACTGTTCGGCTTAGAGGAGAAGGCTTGGGGGAAGGGGAAGATTCTGTACTTTCGCTAGTTTTTTTTCCGCTAGATGGGAGTAGTAGCAGGTAGTAGTGGTACTTATGGTAGATAGTAGGTATCAACAGTAATCGACTGCAACCAACAAAGCCCTCTCACCAATTCAAATTGCACCACTGAGACTTTAATTTATTCATGAGTGCGATCGCGATATCATATGCGTGCAGTTTTGTCTGCACGCATATGATATCGCGATTTTTAAAACAATAACGTCAATACATTCAGAAGTTGAAATAAAGGAACTGCGCTATCAGGAGAGACACCCAGGATCCTCTCCTTCCCGGAATTCGCCATGTGGGCACGAGTGTATTCCCCGATTAACTACCAGAAGTAGTCAAATTAAGTCGGGGCACAATCAAACGGGAAAAATCAGCAATCGGGAAAATTTCCGCTCCAGACACGAACAGAATTCCCCTCTGCAGGAAGAGTATTTGACTTTACTTGGCGCCGAACCCAGATCAATTCGCGCGCGCCTCGATATCTTATGAACTTGCTCTGCTTCCTTTCTTTCCTTTTTTCTTACTCCTTTCCCTTTTCAAGCTTTGTCAGTTTCCTTGCCTTATCCTGGGCACATTTGTCGACTTCGCTACTTCTACTCTTTACGGAACTCAACTGTTAGTAACTTTCTCATTCCAGGTGATTAGCATCGAGGATTCGGACTGGGGCTTCAGCTCAACGTTACTCTGTGACCTAATTCTTTCTCTAATAATTTCTTATAAATAATTGTAATAATGTTCACCATTCCATGAGAACTGGATCGCCTTAGAGAGCGATTCAATTCCAAGTGTCTCTACCCAGTTCAATAAAGTAAAACAATTATCAGCTATGCATGCAAAAAAAATCTAAAGAAAATGCTAACAAGAAAATGCTCAAAAATCCAGAGAAAATGCTCAGATCTTTACTAATCATTAGTCGATCATTTATTTTGTAGAAGTCCTTCGAAGGCAACGGTTCCAAATGTTACACCCACTACTGGACCTTTGCCGATCTCTCCATTCACCACCGCCACCGAGTCCTTCATACCGTTCGTAGAATAGACATCCCTAAAGTAGATATTTTCAAGCTGCTTTCTGAGACATAATTCCGGAATCAGCTTCGATGGTCTATCCCGCCCAGAAAAGTCTCTCATTCCCTCATATTCCGAATATTTCCCAGACGTTCTGTTGTTTTCAATTGACAAGCGAAGCAGTGGGGAGCATTGTCCCTGCTGCATGTTGTAGTTCGCAGATCAGAACGTGCACGAGCTACACAAAACTCCTGCCTCCGGTACCAGGATCATCTCAAGACAAACTGTACACTCATCCCCGAAGATGGTCCTCGCTATGGTCGAGGTGAATCAGTCCGCAGTAACGCTCCACTTCAAATTGCAAGGGAACGGAGGTGAAAGGTAGGGGTATCCGGAGGCCGTCTCTGCACTCCTCTCTCGCCATCCTCAAGGTGCAGCATTTGCGTCGATGTCAAGGTCCAGCAGCGAAACACGCATGCAGCGGCAGAGATCAACCAGAACTGAGAGGGCGCAGGCAAGCAGCATGTTTGGCTACGGTTAAGCTTGTGGCTAGCAGAGCGGGAGAAGTCCAAGAATGGCTTGGGTTTCACTATGAACCCTCATCCATAAGCAGTTCCAAGCTGGGGAAGTGGCACGCCACTGCAGCTGCGGTTCCATTCACCTCGCACATGGCAAGGACTCATATCCACGGAGGAGAGCTAATTGCCCTTGAGGGGTTGAGGGCCCATGGGACTAAGCAGCATTCGCTTTGGGACTTCAGACGCTTGACAAGCTGTGCCATATGCCACCACACCACCTCCGAACTAAAAGATATTTTGTGCAAACTCACCGATTTACTGTTATTCCACAGATATTCTCAACTTGAGCGAACTGTTTAACGGTCGGTGTGAGCCAGTTGCCAAATGAGCGGAAATCGTTGAAGTTTGCAGGAGTCTCACCGCGTGGTCCACCTCCCTAGTACATTCCAGTACCTAGGTGAAATAGTAGATAGTAATTTTTGTATAGATGTATGAAGGTGTAGTTCAAGACATCCGAGAGGCGATATCGCGCGCAAATTGTCGGGTATCCCTCAACCAGGGTACGCCGTCGTTGTGATCATCACAAGGGGGGGCGGTCGTATTGGACGCGAGGAGAGGAAGGGTGCGAAATTTTTTTGATATAGTCTTCCGGTGTGTGACGACCTCCCTCCCCTCCCCTACCCCCCCCCCTCCGACGCGCTCGATTCCATGAGGGAAGGGAACAGAGGGCTGGGTGGGGGCCGGTCGTATTTTAGTGTGGAATTAGGGGGGGGTCGTATTTTCAGAAAATGATCACAACGCGATGGCGTGCCCTTCCCTCAACTGGTTTCTTTGATACATCCGCAGCATTTGCCTATGTTTTTATTTAGACGAAGTTGGGGTCCCGGCGCGAATGCTATATATCTTGCACCATTTGCAAGATGTCTCTCGCCACTCTCGCGTCCTCACGGATGTCCTTAACTACTCATGTTTACTGCGATGCAGCGCGTCAATTGTCAAGGGGGGCGGGGGCGAGTGGTGGCGCGGCTTGCCACGTAATTGCCACCTATTTTCTACAAGCTCTTGTGGCTAGTCTCTTCCTTAAGAAACTCAGGCCCCCAACACGCCCCAGCATCCGTAGCGAACAAGGCCACCATCGCGCGAAAACAATTGTTTTGTGCTTGAAGACTTTCGTAGCAAACCTACCAGAGCTGAGAATTACCTCTCGCCCACGCATTGTCGTAATCTGGGTCCAATCGTAATAGTTGGTGTAGAAGCCAAGCCCAATTCCATACCTCTTCAAAAAATTATCATTTATAGAAAATATGAAGAACGAAAGCTTGATCACCCTTCAAGACCCTTTTTCAGTGTCTCAAGGGACAAGCTTTTTTCCGCTGAATAGCTGTCATACGTCGCCTATTACTCTTGAGGCGACACAAGAGCCGGAGTAGACAATGCAACCATCCGGCTGCCGTTTTTACCGCCCAATAGTAATCGACTCCAGGCAAACAGCAACATTAGGTAACGACTGATGGTGGGCACACTACCGGCGTCTCTTCGACGCCCATTGGCGGACTGCATTGCGACGTCGTATCAACTGCAGCCTGCCTGGCGGAGAGTGGCGGAACGGGGATCTCATTGCTACACAGAAAGGAATTTTACTTTTGTTAATTTTTAATGTGCACGCCGCCCCGCGCATCGTGCAAATACCATCCTCCACTCGACGAGAATTTTCAAGCGAACAAATTGTGGAGGAAGACCTTGATAAGATTTGCTGAGTGCGGTTATGGAGAAGCCGCCCACCGAAGATTGAGAATGGAGGGCCGTCGCATCTAGCCAAAAATTTTTCCTGCACCATTTTTTGATGTGCTCCCTTCTAGGATAAATGCAATGCTTTCGCTGAAGAGCACGAGAGCTCGGCAGAGTTGTGCAGTTTCGAAAAAAGAGATACGCTGTGCATCATGATCGATTTGATTGAGCGAAGCTTACACATTATTTTGTGGGTATGGGTCCCAATTCTTTGGCGATGTTACCTGAAACAAGCATTTATTGACTGAAGTGCTAGCAATCACGTAATTTTCCTACGGAGACTGCTGCAGTTGCCGTAGTGATGTGAGCAGAGTAAGCAGGACGAGACCCAGGAAGCACACTGGGGAGTGGACCAATCGGACAGTTTTCGGGGACACATAGAAAGCATCGCTTCCGCCTTTTCGCTGCAGACTCTGAGAGGTGTCAAGGGGCTGGGCTTCCGCGGCACCAGCTTGTTCTTCCACCAATTGCTTTCGCTTGCTCGTCAACAATTGGTGGTGGACGGGCTGGCGCGGCGACAAACCCGGCGGGAGGGGCAAGGCAATCGTACTATGTCGTGTTGTCGCTCGCGTGCGGTGTATCTTGTGGAGCTTCGCGGCGAATCCTCTATGTCTCATCACTGAGCAGTGGAACTCGTGTTAAAATCGAAGGGAAAAAGATCCCATGGTCTGTGATATCGAACTTTTCCATAATTTCGCACTCCAAGTAAAAGCTCGGGGACAACTCGTCTGTGGGGCGCGAGTCGCTCGCCATGCCCATCAGCGCAGCATGCTACTCTTGTCACTCACCCTTAACCAGCCTCCGACCGTGCCCCAGCGTGTGCGGCGCCAACAACCGTAAGTCTCCCACAGCGTAACCGATCACTTTCACCCCTACAGGAGATACCTATGTTAAATTCCTGTGGTTGAGGGACGGCGCGATAATTCCCATTGTAGGCGCTAGAAGACATCGTTTACCTGGGTGAGCTGAGTACCCGATCGTTTCACCCGCACGTGCGCCACTGTAGCTTCTATTAGTTTTGAATGAAAATGCTCGTTCTTTGGGGAATCTGCGCTAGATTTTTTTTAATCCTTTAACACGACTGATTTTTTGGTACTTTCGCGCGAAATGATGTCATCTCTTACCTGAATCCATATCTTCTTGAGGTTGATTCCAGCGGCATTCAAGCCGTACAAGAGTTCATTGAATTGCATTGATCCATTTTTACGAGATCGGAATTTGTGGCGTCATGTACACTTCCACGCCGAGACGTGCTGAAACATTCTTACTATGGATCGATGGCTTTGTATTGCTTGTTTGTTGCGACATAGAATGCCCAAACGGGAACCGTTGGTCCGAGACTGTGAAAAGCGGCCTAAGGTAGCACGCTGCCCGAAAAGCTCGAGTGCATGTACGAGTCCCATTGAGAAATCTCAGCCTACCCACTTTTGCTAGTATCAAGAGTGCACCCACGCAGCAAGTTGAAAATGATAGGGCCGCGGTAGAGGAGCATGCTACGGACAAGGTCATTCTGGCCATTATTGCAGAATTTCCACTCAAAGAATAAAAATATTCCTTCGATTACCTGAAGCGGCTTGTCGAATATTCGAGATGGATGCCGTATCGAATTGGCCATCTCCGCGGGGATCATAAACCCTGAAAATACGTGGGTTTAGTAGTCAGCATTCGACCAAGGTAAGTGTAAAAGTGACATCGATGTGTGT